CTCCACCCGGATGTGATCTTGCCATCTTGGCACTCCATGAGCATCCTGTGCCACACTGACGTGCACCGCCATACAAGCACACCTTCACTACCTCTTCGTTGTTCCCCTTAACGATTGCATCCAGTCCAATGCCAACCCAGTTGCACCCCAGGGCTCCTCTAGGTCCTGTAAAGTGCGTTTCGGCCACTCCGAATATGGTCATGTCCTCAGCCTCAAGCTGATTAAAATTGTTCATTCCACATCTGCTCCTGTTTTGCACCTTCTAGTTGAGAAACCCCTGCTACACTGTGATAGGCTTTCGTTGCTTCCTTCGTTTTCAGCTCTTTCTTCTTGTTTTTATTTCGCCGTTTTCGTAGCTGCGTTGGATGTGCATTGAGGCAGTTGCTGCCGCACCGTCTCTGCCACCAGATTACTGAGCCATCCTTGGATGGCCCTGCTCCATCGACGAAAGTACGCATGAGGAGGTCCATCTACGGCCGGCCTCATTATTGCGTGTTGTATTTGCCCCGGATAAACTCACTGTGGTACGGGGTACACAGGATTTTCTACACTCGGCGGCTCGCGCCATTCCCTGTAAGAGGGATAATCCTGCCTGTCGATCCCCTGCGCTGTGGCCTGGTTAGCCTGTTTTTCACACCCAGTTGATGTACTGCCCCCCGGTTCCTGCAGGATTCGTCGCTGCGAGGGTACCCACTTCCTTATACAGGGTGTCACAAAATAAAATTTACAGGGTTTTTATTTCTGCAAAAATAAACTAGGCATCGCAGAACGCTCATTCTCCGCCCAAAGGTAGCGCTAGAGGTCACAACACGATGCCAAAGTTTCAGCCCGATCCGATAACTTAACCCAGTTGATGTACTGCCCCCCGGTTCCTGCAGGATTCGTCGCTGCGAGGGTACCCACTTCCTTATACAGGGTGTCACAAAATAAAATTTACAGGGTTTTTATTTCTGCAAAAATAAACTAGGCATCGCAGAACGCTCATTCTCCGCCCAAAGGTAGCGCTAGAGGTCACAACACGATGCCAAAGTTTCAGCCCGATCCGATAACTTAATCAAATGTTATAAGTGATTTTCTGAAAATTTCAATGGGAAAATAGAGACCATTTTTGCCCGTTTTCGGTTTCTGGTGCCCCATAGAGCCCTGTGTATTCAAAAACTCCATCGGCCGCCGTTTTCCCATTGAAATTTTCAGAAAATCACTTATAACTTTTGCTTAAGTTATCGGATCGGGCTGAAACTTTGGCATCTGGTTGTGACCTCTAGCGCTACCTTTGGGCGGAGAATGAGCGTTCGGCTATGCCTAGTTTATTTTTGCGGAAATAGAAACTCTGTAAATTTTCTTTTGTGACATCCTGTACATTGTGGGATGGGTTGCAACGCGTGATTCACTTTTCCGTGTGGCGACCACGGGGTCTTTTTCTGTACCGATTTTATGCCAATAAACTGCGCCGTTGCTTCCTGTTGTGTTCCTTGCTGTGTAGAGCCTACGATTTCATCCCACGCACGAACTTATTGACATTCTATCATGTCATAATCGCCCCCTCATCTGCCTAAAAAAAAAAAAAGAAACCTTGCTACCAACGTTAAGCAGCCTGTCACTAAATGGATGCTCCGACCGCTGTACTAAGGCCCATGTTTTTCACCCTTTCCTAAACTGCCAAATCATTTTTAGGAGTTTTTTTTAGCACCATAGCCGGGATTCCTTGCCTCTGCTAGCAGTTTCTGGTACCGAGTAGACCTCCAAGGCAGCGATTGTGGAGCTACACCTCTCTCCTACAGCACTACAATGTCCTCCGGACGTTGTCATTGCAGCAACTGTATCAAACTGTTGATACCTACATGCAAGATGTACATTCTTGGGGTGTACAATCTGGCGCCTGGAAAAAGAGCGCTAGCGCCACCATGCTAGGTTCAACACGATGTGTCTCACGCGCAAGCCGCCGCTTTTTCCACTGCTCAATGTTTCTAGTTCATTTTATCCAAGTCCCACTATAGAGCAACAAACAGAAACAAGGACGTTTAAATACCCCAGGACCCGGCATGGCGTCCTGCTCGGCGACGCCGAAAAACATAACTCAAATCTAGATTGCCTGACTGGAGGGACGCACAAAGCCTGAGAGCGCAAAAACGCTCCGAAACCGCTCCCACCGCGCATATAATCGCTCCATCTTGCTTCAAATGAAGCGTGCACCAGCGCTGTCGCCATATGTCTTCACTACCTCAGCGACAGTAATCTGGCAGACTGATTCCACAGATAAAGAGGATTGATTACCCGCGCAGGATCCCTCGGATGTCCCAGCGTCGGTGTTTCTCACGATCTCGTGCAACCCCATTTCTTGGCCGTTTCAGATGTCATTAGGAAGCTCCGTTTGCCTATAGGCGGCGTTTCGAGTCCCAGCATATAGCGCATATGCGTGTTCCCGTGTCGGTAGTATATCGGCATCAAGGGGCTTTTTCCTTCTCCGAGTTCTCTGCGTCGGCAGTTGCGTTCGAGCGACACGCAGTTTTTGATGAACTTCGCATGACTCGCTTTCGGTTCTCGACGCAACGCAGTCAAACGGACTCCAACGCAAGTGTCTGAACCGGCCTAAATGCAGCGTTAGCATCGATAGGCTCGCAGCAGCGCCACAACGGCACCCTGCCGCACTGGGAACACTTAGGTAGAAGAAATTGACAAAATGACTTCACCGTTTGTCACAATCGTGAAGTTCCGCACAATGAATTTTTCCTAAAAATGCAGCTCGTGTACTGTTGACCTTGTTTCTAAGCATTTGTCGGTGCAAAATAAAGCCCGCTCCCATGTTCGGAATATTTCGAGTTTTTTTTTTTTTTTTTTTTTTTTTTTTTTAGGGACAACAAACAGCGTTGCCTTTCTGCCTGCAGATCTCGAGAATGCATATCCATGTCTTTCAACCTGGGATGCTACAGTGTTTTTGTGACCGCTTATTTGCTCTAACGAAATCGGGCACGGCACATTGAGCTCGACGCTGCAGTGGAGCTATGGTGGGCTTGCGAAGCCTGTCGATGTACTACTTCTTTCACTTTCTATTCCATGTAGTTCAGGATGGCGCTGCTACCTGCTTATCGATGGCTCACCCCCCCCCCCCCTTTTTTCCCCCTTCTAGCCCACCCATAAAAGGTCGGACCGAACTAGGGAGGGGGGATATATTTTGTTATATTGGGACAACAAAATAAGATCAAGGCTGCTTGACGTTGTAAAGGAGCTGACTCTCCCAAAGACGAGAGATTTTCTAGAGAAAAAATCTTGTGCCCTCTACTTTTTGTATGCAAGCTGTTCTGCCAGTAACACCTTAAGTTTTGATTTGAATATACAACTACGGGCCCACACTTGATGTGATAACCGAATTTAAAACGCCAACGTGCTGGAAATTTTCAATAGAACGAGAGCTAGCACAATGTCGTTGCCCTGTGGCACAGTTTACTTTGCTCAACAGGCATAGGGAAGAATATCTCTTCATACAGCAGTTTTGGCTTCGCTGACAATTGGTATACTATGAAGTGCTCGTATTTTAAAGGAATTTTTTGACGGTCAGATACCCGAGCTTCATATCTTTATCTTTGGCAGTCGCTCTTGCTAAGCGAGAGTTTGTGCAGCCGAGGGGCCTCCCTCAGCAAAGAGCTCGCGCTTGTAGCCTAGTACTGGTATTGTCGTTCCGGTCGATTTACTCCAGGAAGGGCCGAGAAGCAAATACGTAGAGGGAGCTATACTCAGCTCAAAAGAGAAAAAAATAGTGCAAAATTTGTGAACATGTTATATGAAAAAAGCTCCTTTTGAAGTGGCAATGAATCGACGATGTAAAATAGGATTTACAGCGCACATAGCCCTCAATGCATAGGAACGGGGGCTCGCATCTACGGGATGCTTGCGGGCTGCATGCGGCCCGCGAGCCACGTGCTGGAGACCCCTGCTTTACACATTTCCATAAAGGCGTACGACGCCTCGGTCATTGCTGTGTTTGTGTGTTATGCACGTGGAATTTCTGGCTGGCCGCAACGGCGAGAGGGCGCTGGCTGCTCTGGGATTTAGCAAGTGCGTACTGTGATTTTTATAAACAGTAAAAATTTGTATATTTGAGGACAACTTTTTTTTTTTTTTTGGCAACGAAGCTTAAGTTGTGGGTGCCCGTGCGCTAGCGCACATTGAGCAGTCCGTTACAGCTGTGCTCGCGAGGGCCTTCACGTCTTCGGAAATGCCAGAAAAAGTTGTCCCCGAGTATAGTTGAAAAAACTGTGCTGTCTGTCCTTGTCCCTTGTGGGATCGGTGGCCGAGTGGGTCAGCGCAGACTAGAGTGCACGAGGCTCGTTTCTTGAGCACCCCTTGGAACGAGCAAATGGCGGCTCAGCACCGGAATGAGCAGCCCTTGGAGGCGAATGGCGGCGGAGCACCCGCTGGTGACACCTGTATTCAGCGTATCCACAACAATAGTTGGCAATGCCTGTAAAAAAAGAAGAAAGAAACGTTGTTGTCAAGAGGGCTCTACCACACTTCACCCCAAGTCGCTTCATCCCAGCACAGTTCATCCCAGACACATCATACCAAAGTCATTTCATCCCAGGATGTTTCACCCCAAGACAGTTCATCCCATGGACAATTCATACCACGACATTTGATACCAGAATAGTCCACACGGTTCAGCCGATTCAAGGGCTACTCACTTCATCCCAGGTCAGTTCATCCCAGGACTGTTTATCCCGGACACTTCATACCAGAAACGTTCTATCCCGAGACGTCTCATCCCAAGACTCTTCATACCAAGGACATTTCATACCTGGATATTTTATACCACAAAGTGTTCTGCCTAAAAGAAGAAGTTATAAAATCGGTTTCGCACGCGCGGAGCCGACACATGCACTTCGTCTTTCTTCTATTGTCACCCGTGCCACGTAAGACCGTCCTCCACTTGGCATCGAGCTTCCATCAGTCGAACAGTCCAGCCGGCCCGACTCATTAATTGTCATCGAGTTTGTTTGTAGAACATGGCCACCTTTGTGGCTTCTCGTCGAGGATCGCCGAAGCTCTGCTTCGAAGGTTACATGTACACCAAGCACAGGACCAACGACGAGAAGACGGCATGGAGATGCGAGAAATTCCAGGAGGGTTGCCGGGGACGAGCTGTTACTGCAGGTGAGACGACCACTGTTACACAAGGCCATACTTGCCATCTACCGAGTCCGGAAAATGTCGCTGCGGCGCGTTTACAAGATGAGATCAAAACTGCAGCCAAGCGTTCCCACGACACCCCTCGGAACGTCGTCACCGCCTGCCTACAAGGGGCAAGACCGGCGACTATCGCGAAGCTCCCCAAGCTGTCATCACTGGAAAGGAAGGTGAACAGAGTTCGACGCGAAGCCCATGGCGCAGCTCAAGTTCCCCACCGAATCGACGACATAATTGTACCTGAACACCTGCGCATGACAAGAACAGCGTCACCCGAAGTATTTCTCGCAGGGGACACAGGCTGTAGTGACTCGGAAAGAATAATGATTTTCGCCTGTAACACGGACCTGTGCCGTTTAAACACTTGCGAAACCTGGTTGTGTGACGGTACATTTAAAGTAGCACCAGAGATGTTTTACCAGCTTTGGGTTGTTCATGGCCTCTACAAAGGAAGGGTGCTTCCCCTTGTATACTGTCTCTTGCCGAACAAGCGCGAAGCGACGTACAAAAGAGCAACGCGCATGCTACTTGAGGCTATTGACGATGCCACTTCAAGCCCACGACAGGTGCAGACAGTAGTCATGGACTTCGAAAAGTCTGAAGAGAATGCTTTTCGGGAATGCATTCCTGACGTCGATGTGCATGGATGCTTATTTCATTTCGCGCAAAGCATCTGGCGCCGAATTCAAGAGCTGGGCATGCACACGCGATTCATTGATGATTCCAGCTACCACCTCATCGTGAAGAAATTCATCGCACTGTGCTTCTGCGATGTTTTCGACGTCTGCGACAGATATCGCATGCTCGCAAGACAGCTGCTGGACTTGTTTGGACGCACGGAACAGCACCAAGAGTTCCTAGACTACTTTGAGAATACCTGGGTCGGTCGACCCCACAAGGACCCAAGGTTCCCAATATCTATGTGGAATTGCAAGCGCGTGACAGAGGTCAGCCTTCCCAGAACCAACAATAGCGTTGAAAGCTGGCACCGGGTATTCCAAAATTCTATCGGTGCATCCCATCCTACAGTATTCAAGTTGCTGGATGCGCTTCTCTCTGAACAAGTTCGTGTGAACGCGATGGCCATCCAGCTGGACGTGGGTCATGAGCCACCGCTGTACACGAAGAAGGAGTACGAGCAGTCTAACAAGCGTCTATGCCGGATCCTGGATGACTATAACAACAGAGACGCAGACAGCTTTCTCAATGCGTGCTCGTGCTATGTACTTGGCGATTCTCGAGTTTATTAGCCAGAATTGTGTGCTCTGAAGAGCGTATTAGCCCGAACTTTGGCCTCTTGTTAAGGTTTTGCTCTTATGGGTGGGTCATTGCAAAATAAACGTATTAATTTTTCATATTTCTGGTGAATGCTGTCTTGGAACGATACCTTTCGGTCGGTTTTCAAGTGACATCAATCCCCAGTATTGCGGTTTGTTGCAGTATACAGCTTTCATTAGTAAATCTGACCATTGCAGCAGCACTGCAAATAGGGATTGAAGTAAGTGAATGAATGAGAGGGAAGAATACAAAAAGGGAAGAAAGGGCTCTAAGTGGGAATGGCCCGACTTTTGCTGAAGTCCAGTACCGAGTTGTCTGTGGGCACTCCTATGCACGCCCCAAAGTGACGTTTATTTAAGTGCTGCAGCCGGTGAAATGCGACCTTGAGATTTCTTCTTGCTCGAGCTCAGCAACTCGTGGGTGCCCCGAATTATTCTGGTATGAAATGCCTTGGTATTTAATGCCACTGGCATGGAACGTCTTGGAATGAAACATCTTGGGATGAAATGACTTTGGTATGAAGTGAACGGGATGAACATTCCTGGGATGACGTATCCGGGGATGAAGTGTGGCAGAGCCACTCTAAAGTATGAAATATCCTGGCATGTAATGTTCATGGGATGAAACATCTTGGGATCAAACGCCTTGGGATGAAACACCTTTGGTATAAAGTGTCTGGGATGAAGTGTCCTGGGATGAAGTATCTTGGGATGAACTGAGTGGACCCCTGTCAAGAGGTTTTCGCACGCCAACTCGGAGCACGTGGATGAAAGCTCGCGCTCCAGAACCTAGGAAGATTGCCAGGAATAGACCTTTCCGGAAATATGTGGTGCCCCAGCGTCCGCTTTAAGCACTGTGACGTTCAGATGTATACGGCACGTGAAATTATCTAACAAGTGAAGACGAAATTGACGTTGGTTTAACAGTTTGTGATTTCAGAATGCAGAGAAGGCACAAGGAAAGCAAAACAGAGTAATTCACAACCTTCTTTTCCGTTCGCTTTTTTTTTTAGCTTTTAATGAGAAAGAATGAATTGATGCCACTACCAGGATATACGAAGCGTTCGAGCCGCCACAACCGTACATCCCAATTCCCTTAGTTGGAAAGTCTGCAGAGATTTTCTGGAAAGGTTTATTTTCACCCCTGCTCCTTTCGACCTGGATTAGCATCGTACCTACCGGCGTGCGGTCGTGTATCACTACTGCGTAGTGCACGTTAAAGCCCCCAGGCTAGCGGTTGTACCAGCTAAACTGCTCCTCTGACGCCCATTGAGGCGGACTAACTTCCGGCTGTATTCGCTGCTCCAGCGACCTATAGGGGGCGCCACCACCAAACAAACATGGCAGCTGGGAACAGGTCGCGTCGGATTGGCCGGGCCGCCTGAACGGGTGGCGCATTCAATTTAACAGATTTTATTTGGCGTAATGCCCTATTTTATAGGTATTTCAATTGCAACGGTTAAGTGTAGCCGGCGCACATAAACTTGCAGAGCATAGTCTTGTTTTCCCGGTGCTTTCTATTCTTTTCATGTAAAACTTTTGTTGCGGAGATTTCGTTCAAAACCGAAGCTATAGGCTCCGGAGAGACGGTAATAGACTCTAATTAGTTTGGATCAGCTAAGGAAATCGGCGATGACTACAGAATTTTTCCACCGAGAGTAATGTTCAGCTAACTCGCATGCCTCGACCATGCTACTTATCTGTCCGTAAATTGAGCTTTTGTGCGGATCCGCGTTTAAAAAACAGCTCCAGTCGTCTGCTCGGTCAACAACACAGGCTGCAGGAAAATTACGAAAATTAAGCAAGCGCTTCTTGAGCCAAGGAGCATGTTAACCCGCTGGCGCCCCACTAAGCAGCTGATACTCGTATTTCAATTCAGGTTTTAGTAGCAATCGATAAGTCATTTCGACGAATATGCGGGTTATGTATGATATTACGTACTCTTTCCCACTAAAGCGATATTAGTATATTTTTCGGGTTGAAACATGAGCTTAGGTGACTAGCTATTAAGTGAACTGCTGAATGAAAGTATTTGACATACAAAGGGATACTACTTAAACTCAGCCAAATGGTTATCGCCGGCAGCACGGAGACAAACTGAAGAGAGTCTTTATCGGAGATTCACACAGAACCCCTCTGCATTGAACTTGACTTCAAATCCTGAACGGAGAAAATGAGTATTTTTAAGTGGCCGGACAACCTGGGCAATGCTGGCGTATATTACTGTTTGCTTCGACGGGGGTATAATATAAATATTGGAGTCGCGATAGATCCTAATGTCGTGACAGCTTCTAACTTTGCGAGACGCATCCCCACTTTTTGAAAGCAGACAATTTCTCTCAGTAATCGTATGCAGCGAGCAGGTTTTCCCGAATAAAATAATTGTCAAATCAGTCCAACTCCTTCGGCGTTTTCCAGAGGCTTTTCCGGCGAAAAGCAGCCAAGATGAATAGCCAATGCACCCATCGGCTTGGGTGGATCAATCTTGAAGCTAGTCGAACACAACCAAACTCAAGAAAAGCAGCTATCGAACCTTTCCATTCACTTGACTGCAACACTGGCGTTCCCTCCAGTGAAACACCTTGTCTGTCGTCCTCGGTCCACTGCTCTACATCCTTATAAAGAAACCACTTATCAGTTACCAAGTGGTCGTCCCTTTGAATGTGATTCGAGACAGTCAAGAAATCAAAACGATTTTCTGTGATTCCTCCCCATCCAAGAAATTAAAAGCACGCGACCGTGTGTTGTGGAGTGAAAGGGCTTTCAAACACGTGATGGAAGGAAACAATCTACTGAGGCCCCACCACACTAATGAACACTCAGGAAAACTTAAGAAATATTTAGACCTTCGTCAAATTACAATGTTCGCCACCGCGCCGACAACACGCGTCCGCGAAAGCCGCCACAGACGCGGAGAGGCGTAAAGCGGCCTGTTCCGGCTGGTTCCCGGTTTTCCCGCTTGGTGCCGTCCGTTTTGCTGGAGTCGCAATTAAACATACGCACAACATTATTATATATCTTGTCCCTAAGTTTTTTTTTTATTCTTTAATTAATTCTTGGAGTACGTGATGCAGTTTATTCTTTCGTTTAGTCGTGGATTAGGTGATGAACTGGATTTTATAACCTCACAAAATATACGCGCTTTGCAGCAGCAGTGAATGGGCGCCGCCACAACTGACCTTCACTTTTTGCTTCCTCTTATTCCGTTCACTTCACTTCGTCATTCCCATAGCAGTCTATGCTATTCCCATTTTAGATACTACTGCGTTCTTCTCTCCTGCATTGGACTTTGCGGAGGCTCAACGATGCCCGTTTCAGTGGCTCAGTATCTCGGTAAGACAAGCAAAGGTCAGCAATGGCGGATGTAATCTGGCGCGTGTGCAAAGTGTCTATATGACGTAATGGTGAAATAAAATTATGTTTAGTAAAATTAAACCAAACAATATATGTATTTTTAGGGCTGCGGATCTACTAAAAAATTTAACCCGATTAATCGGCACCCTTTATTGGACTAATTTAACGATTAATCAATCGCGTTAATTTTCAGGCATAGGGGCGCATTTTGCCTTGATGTTTTTTTTTATGATATACACTGCAATGTAAATTTTCAACTGGGGATAAACATGTGATTTATGTACAGTTAAAAGATACAGCTTATTATTTTACCGGCGAGGGCGTATTGGAAGCAGTTTTTTGGGTATTCTCTGACGTGAGCGAGCGCCTTACTTTCTCGAAATCATTCTTGTTGTACTAGATAAACACTCGAAAGACGTTGAACCAAAAGAGGCATTTCTTTTTTTTTTTTTAACGGTTGGCATTATTTTGGAACAGATGCCCTGCGATTGCCACTGCAGTTCGTCGTTCCTCACGTCGGCTGTGGTACGTAAAGAACCACATTCAAGCTTTACCGCCAGCCAGTCGACACCATGGCCCGTCGCCATTGAGCGGCACGGCGCGCGGTTGGACCATCTTGAAAGTCTGCTGCTGCTTTGAGTGGAGAGGCAACGTCGGTAGGCACCGACCTCAGACAAATTATGAGAAGAAGGTGTTTCTGAATGTGGCTTTGAGCGCCTCCGAGGGGTGGTCGACGTCGCCAAAGCAGCGAAGGGAAAGGCCTAAATCCCGACAGGTACGCCACTGACTGGAATACGTAGGCATAGTAGTGAAAGTGAAGCTGCGGGACTTTGCCTTCTTGGGGAATCTCCTCCTGCTGGCAACCTGCTGTCCTTGAGGAGCAACTTCTCTGCTCTAGACGCGCGCTATTGAACCTTTGCCGAATTCGGTCTGGCCATTTTGATCACTATCATCATCATTTGAAAAATGGCGTATGTGCTATACTAATGGCGGCCTTCTGTTTTCTGATGAAGGAAGAAGTTGAAGATGCTCCTAATCAGATGATTCGAGGCCTATACACTCTAGACGTTAGCGCTACGTGAGGTGGGAATCGGATGTAAGAGCTGCGTAAGCGTTTATATCTAAGTCGGGCCCATGGAGTCAATCTGTGCGTAGCGCATACTCGGCTTCAAAGTCCCTTAACGTATAGAACTTCAAGGCGTCTTTGTGTGTTGGCGCTTCGTTCTGACTGGTTGCATCTTTTTCGCCGTCGACACTGAAAGAGATTGAAAAAGAACTGTACAGTGACGAGCATATTCTCGTTTACCGTTGACTTGCGAAAGTGACGGTGCCCCATAAAATACTGCAGACCACAGGTTTATTGCCGCCATTATTGTGGTAAAAGTTAAACTGCCATTCGTGTCTATTATGTGTCGCTCGCGGACGCCATGAAAACCTTATCGGCTTTTTCGTAAATTGTACACGGCCTTCGCGATGGAACCAGCCCTTTGAAGACGAACAAGGTAGTGTTTGTGCCATGAAAAGAAATAAGAAAAAATACGGAAGAAAACAAACAAGAAAAAAGCTTAAAGGAAAGTGTGTTTTTTTTTTTCTTCGTTATACTGTTTCAAGTTCAACCG